GGGATGTGCGGGATTAATGTGTGTGAGGGATGTCTGGGATTAATGTGTGTGAGGGATGTGCGGGATTAATGTGTGTGGGGGATGTGTGGGATTAATGTGTGTGAGGGATGTCTGGGATTAATGTGTGGATGCGGTAAAGCCCTGGGTTAGACATCCGCAATACACATTCCGTGACGGGAGTAGGGAACGTGTCGGATGCGACAGTTACGTCATCCGCTCGCGCAGGCGCGTGCAGGGAACGCTCGTGCCTATCGCGGCTGGGGGGTGGTTGGGTGGGGGAATCAGGAGGATCAGTGGGTGGGGATGGGGGAGGGGGTTATCTTACATTTTTACATCGTTTTTTTTAATATAGTAAAAAAATCATATTGCGAAACGGTCGAAAATCAACTTAGTTGCTCTGTTCCACAAGTTTGGTAAGCAAAGCTCTGGTCGTGGCGGGCTTGGTGGGGGTTAGAATCTACCTCAGATACATCGGCATAATCTCATAAACTGTGCAAGATTTCCGGACGTTTGTTACCAGTACTCTTGCGGTTATATGAGATGCACGCGTCTATTTAGAACATGTTCTAGATCATCATACAAGTGCCTTAATGTACCGTGACCGTAAGAACATTTTCTAGAACATCATATAAGTGCCCAGATGTACCGCGACCTTCAGAACGTGCTCTAGAACATCATATAAACGCCCAGATGTACCGAGACCTTCAGAACATTTTTTCTAGAACATCATATAAGTGCCCAGATGTACCGAGACCTTCAAAACGTGCTCTAGAACATCATATAAGTGCCCAGATGTACCGTAACATTCAGAACATTTTCTAGAACATCTGGTCAGAAAAAAAACAGTCTGGCATATGAAAATATATTCGCACATAATTTCACGCGTAAATTTGAAAAACAAAATGGCTCAGCCGTTTCACTCAAATGCCATAGTTATCAAGACACGAATATTGCCTTCAGACAAAAACATTTCGCTCAAGTTTCAACGGTATAATGACTGCAGTCGTTTAGTATTTATTTCAAAAAGTTTCCGTATTTTGTTTTTAATGTGCATCGCGCGCACATTTGTTGGCATCAGATTGAAATAAATGCTGAGAATGGTCGGTGTTGATGGTGTTCTAGAGTTACACACCACACTAGAATCTGGTGGCGATGATGGTGTTTTAGAGTTACACACCACACTGGTGGCGGTGTTGATGGTGTTTTAGAGTTACACACCACACTAGAATCTGGTGGCGGTGTTGATGGTGTTCTATAGTTACACACCACACTAGAATCTGGTGGCTGTGTTGATGGTGTTCTATAGTTACACACCACACTAGAATCTGGTGGCGGTGTTGATGGTGTTCTACAGTTACACACCACACTAGAATCTGGTGGCGGTGTTGATGGTGTTCTAGAGTTACACACCACACTAGAATCTGGTGGTGTTGATGGTGTTCTATAGTTACACACCACACTAGAATCTGGTGGCGGCGATGATGGTGTCCCAATGAGGAGGTGTATTCTCGTCTGCTAATACCACCGTGAGAGGCTCGCGTCTGTTATTTGATTCACTCAACATGTGAATTGGAGCTTTAATGTCAACTTTTTAATGGCGTTTGATTTCGTCAAGTCGATAGTGGTTGAGGTTTGGCTTGGGTGGGTGGGGTGGTGGGGTGGTTGATAAGGTGGTGGGGTGGTGGGTTTGGGGTGGTTGATAAGGGGGCGGGGTGGTGAGTGGTTGATAATGGGGTGGGGTGGTGGGGTGGTTGATAAGGGGGTGGGTGGTGGTTACTGCTGTGGTTTTAGATTGGTGACTGTTTGAAGGTGTTTGGTGACTTGATGGGGGGATGTTTGGTGACTTTGTGGTTGTTTTGTTGTTGTTGTTGTTGTTGTATGACGTTGAGGTGGTGACGTGGCATATTGCTGCTGATATTTTAAGGCTTGACGAAGTTGTGAGTTGTGACCAGACACCAGGAAGTAGAAGGGGAGGCTGGTCGCTGGGGGTGGGGGAAAGGAGGGGGGGGGGGGTCGGAGATGATTTTCTAAATAACTTACAATATCAAATATCATGACGTCAATTGATTTTGATTTCAGGCTGGAAATAGCAAGGGCAAGGTGACCCGCTAGAGTTACCGAACCTTTCCATACCTGGTTCAAATATCCCACAAAAATATCCCACACAAATATCCTACAAAAATATACTGCAAAAATATCGCACAATAATATCCCACAAAAATATCCCACAAAAATATCGCACACAAATATCCCACAAAAATATCTCTCCAAAATATCTCACCAAAATATCTCACCAAAATATCTCACCAAAATATTCCACAAAAATATCGAACAAAAATATCGAACAAAAATATCCCACAAAAATAGCCTACAAAAATATCCCACAAAAATATCGGACAAAAATATCCCACAAAAATATTGCACAAAAATATCGCACAAAAATATTCCACAAAAATATCCCACAAAAATATCCCACAAAAATATCCCACAAAAATATCTCAGAAAAATATCCCACAAAAATATCCCTAAAAAATTTACTACAAAAATATACCACAAATATATCTCACAAGATAACTGAAATTGTTAAAATATCCCTACAAGGTACCTGTAGTTAAAATATCCTACAAGGAACATGTAGTTACAATACCCCAATCTAATCTTAACAAAAGTTAGGGGACATTCATAGGATGCCCTAGTTCTACAGGCACCGAAGACTAAAATACCCTAGATTTAAATAACTTAATGTAGACAGAAGCTAACTTTACACAGGTCAGTCTCATATCTAGATGACCATATCAAACTAAACTCACCGTTGTCCCACCCCCCCCCCTCCCCCCACAAACTGAACTCACCGTTGAAGTCGTCCCCTCCCCCAAACTGAACTCATTGTTCCCCCCTCCTCCCCCCCCCCCCCCCACAAACGCAAACTGAACTCAGCGATTCACCCCCCCCCCCTTCCCCACCGCCCTTTCCCCCCTCCCCCCGCCCACCTCCCCCCCCCCCCCCCCGACACACACACACAAACTGAACTCACCGTCCCGTCCCCCGACACGGTGGCCGGAAAGAACCGCAACGGAAAAAAGCGCAACGGAAAAAAGCGCAAAACAAAAAGCGCAACGGAAAAAAGCGCACACGGAAAAAAGCGCAAAGAGAAAAAAGCGCAAACGGAAAAAAGCGCAAACAGAAAAAAGCGCACACAGAAAAAAGCGCAAACGGAAAAAAGCGCAAACAGAAACAATAAAATGCGCAACCAGAAAAAAACACAACGAAAAATGTGCAAAAGAGAAATTTAGCACAAAGACCATATGGACTAGATGACACATTTATACATGACTGTTAGGGCTGCTGTGAGAGTGTCGTGTTTGATCACGTGATCTACTACCATTTAAAGCGTACCACTACCATCTGCATTCCCATCACCACGATACAGGCGATAATCACTTTACACAAGGTTTTGATTACAGCAGTCAAATGCCTATTGTACCTGATCACTGATTAATCTGATATGTGTTTGACCTCACAGAGTGAGAGGCGTACGTGGACTTCGTGTGGTGGACGCCTCTATAATGCCAGACATTGTGTCAGGGAACCCACAGACATATGTCAATGATGTCAATGAATTTTCATTAAAAAAATGATGTCTAGTACAGTTTACGAAACTTACGAACTTCGCCGATACTTTTTTGGTGGGTAGTTTGGTAAGTATGTAGGCGGGTAGGTGGGTAGGTGGGTAAGTGGGTAGGTGGGTAGTAGGTAGGTAGGTAGGTGCGTCATGATGTGAAAAAATATTAAATACAAAATTGTTATTTTGGTGCGAATGAATGTTGTTACGAGAGATATGACGAATGCATGTTTGATGACGCGGATGAAAGAGAGTGAAGTTTTGCCATAGGAACGGGTTGTTATAGTATGCAAGCTAGGTAGTTCGGACTAGGGAGAATGTGAAAGATACTTCGTGTAATGTCGATAGTTTTATGTTTATACGAGAATAGTAGTTGACTAATTATTGACCAAGAAAATAATAGGCATTGTGTAAAGTGATTATCGCCTGTATCGTGGTGATGGGAATGCAGATGGTAGTGGTACGCTTTAAATGGTAGTAGATCACGTGATCAAACACGACACTCTCACAGCAGCCCTAACAGTCATGTATAAATGTGTCATCTAGTCCATATGGTCTTTGTGCTAAATTTCTCTTTTGCACATTTTTCGTTGTGTTTTTTTCTGGTTGCGCATTTTTCTGTTTCTGTTTGCGCTTTTTTCCGTTTGCGCTTTTTTCTGTGTGCGCTTTTTTCTGTTTGCGCTTTTTACCGTTTGCGCTTTTTTCTGTTTGCGCTTTTTTCTGTGTGCGCTTTTTTCTGTTTGCGCTTTTTTCCGTTTGCGCTTTTTTCTGTTTGCGCTTTTTTCCGTTTGCGCTTTTTTCCGTTTGCGCTTTTTTCCGTGTGCGCTTTTTTCTGTTTGCGCTTTTTTCCGTTTGCGCTTTTTTCTCTTTGCGCTTTTTTCCGTTTGCGCTTTTTTCTGTTTGCGCTTTTTTCTGTTTGCGCTTTTTTCCGTTTGCGCTTTTTTCTGTTTGCGCTTTTTTCCGTTTGCGCTTTTTTCCGTTTGCGCTTTTTTCTCTTTGCGCTTTTTTCCGTTTGCGCTTTTTTCTGTTTGCGCTTTTTTCTGTGTGCGCTTTTTTCTCTTTGCGTTTTTTTCTGTTTGCGCTTTTTTCTCTTTGCGCTTTTTTCCGTGTGCGCTTTTTTCTCTTTGCGCTTTTTTCCGTTTGCGCTTTTTTCCGTTTGCGCTTTTTTCTGTGTGCGCTTTTTTCTCTTTGCGCTTTTTTCCGTTTGCGCTTTTTTCTCTTTGCGCTTTTTTCTGTGTGCGCTTTTTTCTCTTTGCGCTTTTTTCCGTGTGCGCTTATTTCCGTTGCGCTTTTTGATTTGCGCTTTTTTCCGTTGCGCTTTTTTCCGTTGCGGTTCTTTCTGGGAACCCCCCGACACACACACACAAACTGAACTCACCATTAAAGTCAGCATTTTTCCTCGAATGTATCCCAACGTGAACAGATGTCAGCCTCTGCTTGTCATTTGATGACATCCGCTCCTTGTCATTGGGTGCCGGCAGCCGGACGGAGATGACATGCACCTCCCTGTCCTTGGAGCCGGTGCTGTTGGTCTCGCAGCTGTAGCCCGGCTCCAGGCTCCGGAACGTGGCCGACACGAACTCGGAGACGAAGTTCTCCGTGATGTCGCATTTGGAGAAGTAGTTGTCTGAAACAATCAAGATTTTAAAAAAGGTATGTGACTGAATTAATCAAGATTGAGTTTATTATAAAGAGGCAACAGTTTGAAACAATGGGGGAAGTAAAGGCTTGGGAGGAGACATAGTTCGTCCGTGTGGCGACATAAACAAGTGTCTTCAAGACATAAACGTCTTCAAGGCTCTGTTTTAAAGTCTAAGAATGTTTTGTGGAGTTCTCAGAGTTACGAGCTAAGACTTTTGTCTAGAGTGAGTTTGTCTTTTGTTTGTGGGCGGGCAGACAGCGGCAGTGATGTAGTGGGGCTTCACGTACCATACTTGTGTAACATCAGCCGTAGTTAAAGGGGTGGAAAGTTTGCCGTACATTATAAGTCTAACTAAAAACAGTACCACTATAACAGTACCACTATAACGGTACCACTATAACAGTACCACAATAACGGTACCACAATAACGGTACCACTATAACGGTACCACTATAACAGTACGACGTCACGCTTGAATAATCACCCAATAGGTTGTGTTACCAGGGGAAAAACGGTTTTAGAAAAACAGAACCGAGCAATTAGTTCCGCCTCATTAAATCTTTATCTAATTGGAAACCTAAAGTGGTGTTAGAGATTTGTAATTCCCTGCCCGTGTCTTAGGTCTTTCAGAAAGTCTGAACCATCGTGACGATAGAAGTCTTTTACAGGCCGTCGAGTGACATACGCCTAGTTACTGGTAAGTTAAGGACATAGTTACTGGTGAGTTAAGGTCATATCTACTGATAAGTTAAGGACCTAGTTACTGGTAAGTTAAGGACATAGTTACTGGTGAGTTAAGGTCATATCTACTGATAAGTTAAGGACCTAGTTACTGGTAAGTTAAGGACTTAGTTACTGGTAAGTTAAGGACATAGTTACTGGTAAGTAAAAGTCATAGTTACTGGTAAGTAAAAGTCATAGTTACTGGTAAGTTAAGGACCTAGTTACTGGTAAGTTAAGGACATAGATACTGGTAAGTTAAGGACCTAGTTAATGGTAAGTTAAGGACCTAGTTACTGGTAAGTAAAGGTCATAGTTATTAGTAAGTTAAGGTCATAGTTACTTGTAAGTTAAGGTCATAGTTACTGGTAAGTTAAGGACTTTGTTACTGGTAAGTTACTGGTAAGTTAAGGACCTAATTACTGGTAAGTTAAGGACATAGTTACTGGTAAGTTAAGGACATAGTTACTGGTAAGTTAAGGACATAGTTACTGGTAAGTTAAGGAAATAGTTACTGGTAAGTTAAGGACATAGTTACTGGTAAGTTAAGGACATAGTTACTGGTAAGTTAAGGACCTAGTTACTGGTAAGTTAAGGACCTAGTTACTGGTAAGTTAAGGACCTTGTTACTGGTAAGTAAAGGTCATAGTTACTGGTAAGTGAAGGTCATAGTTACTGGTAAGTAAAGGTCATAGTTACTGGTAAGTGAAGGACATAGTTACTGGTAAGTTAAGGACATAGTTACTGGTAAGTTAAGGACCTAGTTACTAGTAAGTTAAGGACCTAGTTACTGGTAAGTTAAGGACCTTGTTACTGGTAAGTAAAGGTCATAGTTACTGGTAAGTGAAGGTCATAGTTACTGGTAAGTAAAGGTCATAGTTACTGGTAAGTGAAGGTCATAGTTACTGGTAAGTGAAGGACCTAGTTGTTTCAATGGATCTAGCTATTGATGAAATGGACCAGGGTAGATCCACACAAAGCAGCAGATGCACAAGATGGCGGATAAAAGGTTCGCTTCGTCATGTCGATACTTCCTGTTTGACAAGGTCAACTGAGGTGTCACATGTTGCGTCATAATGGAGAACAATAGGCGAAATGCGGTTAGTGACGTCATCGGTGAAGTTTGTCGGACTGGGGTACCCAGATGTGGTGGGGTGTGGGGACAGGGGCGCTAAAACACTACAGGGGTGGGGGACAGGGGCGCTAAAACACTGCAGGGGTGGGGTGCATGGGCGCTAAATATCGCACGGGTATTAGATTTAATTAAGGAAGAAGTAAGAAAAAAAAAGATTTGACCAAAAAATCGAATTGCTCCAGGCCGAAATAATCACAAGTACAGGTATAGCAGATCTTGTTGGCTTCCATATTGCAATCATTTTCATTACAACACACACATACACAAATGTTTTCCATTTCTTGCAGCCTAAAGATAAACACGTTTTTTGACGCTTAACAAAGGCAATTAGTTTTTCATTGATACGTTATTTAATGAATGGATAGACAGCCTCCAACGGGAGCTAATTCAAAAAACATTCATCCAATCAAAATTGTTTGGCCGGTATGTACTTTAGCCTTTCCGATTTATCGCTCGATTAACGGGCAGTGTACGGTAATTAAGGTGGGAGGGAGGGGGAGGGGAGTTCAATGAAACGGTTTTCGTGAAATAAGGAAGTTTGTTTTAGTGTTTGATTAGGGCTAATGGACTCGGCTGCTGTAGAAGTACACGGCTCTATGTTTGTTGGTGAGGGAATGAGGGCTCACTGTAAGTCGATGGTGTGGGTGTTGGTAGGTAATTTGGTTTAGTTGAGGGGTGGGGGTAGGGAGGAGGGGTGGGAGGGATGTTAGGGTGGGAGGCGGTGAGGTAGGGACGAGTTGTGGGAGGTGGTGGGGGTAGGGACGAGGGAGGTTAGGGTGAGAGGCGGTGGGGGTAGGGAGGAGGGTTAGGTTGGGTGGGGGTAGGGGTAGGGACGAGGGGCAAGAGGGAGGATAGGTTGGAAGGAGGTGGGGGTAGGGACGAGGGGTGGGAGGCGGGGTGGTGACTTCGTTAATCAAACCAGCATTACGTTCATTATTTTTTTAAAGAATAAAACTGCACTTTCTTTCAAACGTGAGTATACCGAACATTGCCACATTGTGTAGTGAAGTTTTTATTTTAGTGCGTCGTGTTTTTTTTTAAGTCACATTTTTTTTTACCAGTCGACTCATGTGCCGGCCACGACGGCTGAGAAATTTGTAGCAGAAACCAGTGGTTGCTGTGGCGTCCGGTTCACGCCCTCAAAGGTCAGGGATCGTGCAGAAAGTTGAAAGGTCAGCAACATGTTTACAGTTGTCAGACATGTTTTGGAATTAACATGGCAGACAGAAGTAAACACTGACATCCGCCAATGGTGTCCTTCGTTTGTTAACACTGACTCTAACTCTCACACCCGACACTGACATCCACCACTGGTGTCATTAGTTTATTAACTCCACTGACTTTAACATTGACATCCAACATTAACATACAACAGACCGGTGGGGAGGGGGTATGAGTTGGTCTTCACGAGAGGAGACGTGCTTCCCCGCCTCCCCCTCCCCACTCTACCCTCTCACGGAGAGATGACTAAAAGAAAAATTGATATCAAGAGGTGGGTCTCATATGACGGGAGACGGGAGTTTATCAACAAGGGAAGTGGGTCTTACAAGAAGGGAGGTTATCCACACTCTCCCTAAGGTAGGTGGGTCTTACAAGAGGGGAGGTTATCCACACTCTCCCTAAGGTAGGTGGGTCTTACAAGAGGGGAGGTTATCCACACTCTCTCTCTAAGGTAGGTGGATCTTACAAGAGGGGAGGTTATCCACACTCTCCCTAAGGTAGGTGGGTCTTACAAGAGGGGAGGTTATCCACACTCTCCCTAAGGTAGGTGGGTCTTACAAGAGGGGAGGTTATCCACACTCTCCCTAAAGTAGGTGGGTCTTACAAGAGGGGAGGTTATCCACACTCTCCCTAAGGTAGGTGGGTCTTACAAGAGGGGAGGTTATCCACACTCTCTAAGGTAGGTGAGTCTTACAAGAGGGGAGGTTATCCACACTCTCCCTAAAGTAGGTGGGTCTTATAAGAGGGGAGGTTATCCACACTCTCCCTAAGGTAGGTGGGTCTTACAAGAGGGGAGGTTATCCACACTCTCCCTAAAGTAGGTGGGTCTTACAAGAGGGGAGGTTATCCACACACTCTCCCTTGACCCTAAGACAGGTGAGTCTTCGAACATTTCAGCTCAAAGTTTGTGCCGCCCTACGAGGCGCCATTGTTGCACTTAATGTGTCACGTGGCCGGACCTCACCAACACAGGAAGTCATGTGATCCTTAGTGTTACTATTTATAGAACTATTGGATAGTCCGCACATTTTTATTTTATAAATAAATTTTTTACTGAAAGCAAAAGTATCGGCTAAAATGTCAGTTAAAAAATATCTCCATGAATATTTAATATTCATATCATAAAATCATTTTCTAAATTTAGATCCCATGATATATTTCATATGAATTGTTTTTTCCTCATGGAGTAAAAAAATTTTTTTAAATACATTCAGATGTATGAATGTATGTAACTAGAAAGAGCGTGACTATTAGCTTCAATATTTTATCAGACATGACGAACACTGAGGTCTCAGTTGTGTAGGGGACTGTGGAAACTGTAGGGAATATAACATGACGTGCCTGGGTTTGTTTGGTCGTGGTTGCACATTATGTATATGGTGGTTGCACATTCTGTATATGATGGTTGCACATTCTGTATATGGTGGTTGCACATTCTGTGGATGGTGGTTGCACATTCTGTGGATAGTGCGCACATTCTGTGTATCGTGGTTGCACATTATGTGTATTGGTTGCACATTCTGTAAGTGGTGGTTGCACATTCTATTGATCTTCTTTGCACAATCCCCTCCCACCATCCCCTCCTACCCCTACCCCTATCCCCTCCCACCAAACAACAAAGTCAGACACCACATACTTCTGATCACAAGTCTCACATAAGCACACACACACACACACACACACACACACACACTAACACACACACACACACACATTTTTAAAAAAAACAGCTCCACAAAATTCTGTTTGAAAATCTTTTCGAAGATTTGTGTGAAGACAAAAAGCTATTTGTCTTAGCTCTAAGTTTTTAAACATTTGTTGTTAACATTCTGACAGAAAACAGAACGCTCAAGAGAAGGGGGGTCAAAAGAAGGGGTCTCATGTTGCAACTTTAAAGCCATTTTTCAAG